GGCTGGGCTGGACAATGGCCCCTCCACCTCCCACAACTCTCCTGGCCACAGGGCTCTGCTCCGGCCACCAGGGTGGGCAGGGGTATAGTTCCCTGACCGGGACCCTTGCGTGTCCCTGGAGTGCTGCTGGGGCCAGGGGCAGAGGAGAGGACAAGGTCACACAAGAGGCTGTTGCCCAGGACTTGGTGTGCAGCTCCAGCAGAGCCAATGATGCTCCCAGACCCACAGGGTACAAGAGAGGTTTGTGCCTACCAGGATCAGCCTCTGCCCCTCCTCAGACTGCCCCAATCTCTGCTCATAGACCAAAGCGGAAATCTCTGTGCCCAGCCATCATGGTCTAATGGGGCCTCCAAGAGACAGATGCGATTCTCCACCTACATCCTGCCCAAACCCCATGCAGGGGTCACATCATTGCATGCAGCTGGGAAAGGGAAGGGACAGGCTGGAGAGGCGGGACCTTGCAAACCTCATTGAGTTCAACAAGGTCAAGTGCAAGGTCCTGCCCTGGGTCAGGGCAATCCCCAGCACAGACGCAAGCTGGGGGAGACTGTATTGAGCAGTCCTGGGGTGTTGGGTGAGAAGCTCCCCATGACCTGGCTTCAGTGTGTGCTTGAGCCCACAATCCCCCCATGTGCTGGACTGCACCCTCAGAGCGTGAGCAGCAGCTCAGGGAGGGGATCCTGCCCCTCTGCTGTGCTCTGGGGAGACCTGAGAGCTCCCAGTGCCTAAAGAGGCTACAAGAAACCTGAAGAGGGGCTTTGGACAAGGGGAATGGCTTTAACCTGCCAGAGGGGAGATTGAGATGAGCTCTGAGGCAGAAGCTCTTCCCTGTGAGGGTGCTGAGGTGCTGGCACAGGGTGCCCAGAGAACCTGTGGCTGCCCCATCCCTGGCAGTGTTCAAGGCCAGGCTGGACACAGGGGCTTGGAGCAACCTGCTCTAGTGGAAGGTGTCCCTGCCCGTGGCAGGGATTGGTACTGGATGAGCCTTAAGGTCCCTTTGAACACAAACCATTCCATGACTCTATGACAGAGGCTACAGGGCACTGTTCTCAGCCAGTGGTGCTCTCACAGGCCCACATCCTGGCTCCATCCATCCTGCAGAGCCCCAGGGTCAAGGTGGGGCAGGAGCACGACTGCCGAGTCCCTGCTGCTTGCAGCACTCACCCAAGGGGAAGGTGATCTGGTCGCACATGCCCAGCAGCTGCCCAAAGTACACCTTCTTCTCCGAGGGGTGGATGCCAAGCTCCGTCATCCTGCAAGCCAAGCCTCGGCATGAGGCAGAGCACACAGGGCAGTGTGTCCCACCAGGTGAGCACAGGAGACCTGACAAGTCATATCTCACTGCAGCTCTGCTGGACCCCCAGTCCCTGCCATGCCTTCCCAGCACTTACCTGCACAGGGTGAACTTCACTGTGTCCTCATTGTGAGATGCCACCATCACACTGGCTTTCCTGCTGTGCTTGATCTCCTCCAGGATATAGTCCAGGCACCTGTAAGGCAGCACAGGGGCTCATGGTGAGGCTGCTAGGGCCTGTGCGGGGTGGGGTGGGAGTGAGGACCATGGCTGGGGCTGCCCCTGCCTGTGGTACATCTCGTTGGTCTTGTCATAGGTGGGATTGATGGGATCCTCATAGCCGATCTGGGCCGCCCGCTCCCGCTCCTGCTCCATGTAGGCGCCACGGACAAGCTTGGTGCCAAAGTGCCAGCCCTCCCGGCGTGACAGCTCCACGTCCACTGTCATGTTGTCATAAGCCTCCTGGGACCGGGGGGAAGAGATGGCACAAGGTCACTGCGCCAGTGCCACCTCTGCCCGGTGCCTTCAGGCAACCAGCCCCGAGC